AAAACGAACTGGCCATGCATAAGCAAACTGCCGTATTACAGGACGAAGTTTCCTCAGTGGACCAGCGGTACCATCGAAAGTGACCTCAAAAATTACCTAGATGCAGATGGTCTTCGAATTTTGCAGCAAATGCTTGTCTACAATCCAGGGAAACGCATTTCCGCGAAAACTCTTTTGACGGATGTTTACTTCAGCAGCGTCGACAGAAGCAAACTTCCTGCTGGCAGTCTCGATGGAACTTTGCAGCTGCCACGACTTTGAGCAAGAGGGACCACGTCGCTGTCCAGCTTTTTTGTTATCCAGGCGTTCTAATTCAAGATTTTTCTGGTGGTGCATTGTTTTTGTCCAGTATCTAATCAGTAATAAACCATTATATCACATGGCCAGTGAAACATACTTATTATTGGCTGGTGTTCTAAGCGGCACGTACGAAATCATGCATTTTCGTGATAGTTTTTGGCAAATATGTGTTTTGCCAAAAACACAGATTGATCAGTTATACTGTATTTTTTGGTGGTGCATTGTTTTTGTCCAGTATCTAATCAGTAATAAACCATTATATCACATGGCCAGTGAAACATACTTATTATTGGCTGGTGTTCTAAGCGGCACGTACGAAATCATGCATTTTCGTGATAGTTTTTGGCAAATATGTGTTTTGCCAAAAACACAGATTGATCAGTTATACTGTATTTTTGGTGGTGCATTGTTTTTGTCCAGTATCTAATCAGTAATAAACCATTATATCACATGGCCAGTGAAACATACTTATTATTGGCTGGTGTTCTAAGCGGCACGTACAAAATCATGCATTTTCGTGATAGTTTTTGGCAAATATGTGTTTTTGCATGTAGCAAATGCGAAAACGCATATTGATTGTGATCATCATTGTATGTGTGTATGTCTGCATGTATGTTTATATGCCTTTTTCCAGGTATTTCAACTAGGGAACCAAGCAAGCTTCAGTGCTGAAATTTTCCAGCGCTTTTCCCGGCTAAGTGGCAGCGCTTTTCCCGGTACCAACTTTGTACGCACGTCTGAACCCTGCATCCAGGCATGTGAAAATTTTGGCAGGAAAATTCCTGACTCGGCAGCCGGAAAAGCTGAAAAACTCAAGTGTTAAGGGGATGTACCCCGCCTACGTATTAAGAATTTCAGATTCAGACCCCAAGTTTGCGTGGTTCTCACGCAAGGGCGCATAAAAGTTTTGATTACTCACTGAACAACCTAATAGTTTTTAATGAACAACCGTTCAACAAAAATTTTTCATTTTCCTTTGTGCAAAATTTACGATGATTTGCGCCAATTGATTTACGCTAAAAAATTCATACAATTAACGACCTAATTGCTTAAAGTTTAATGCAAAAAATACAAAATCGTACAGGCAAGCGTGGTGCGTGGCAGTTTAAAGTTTATAGTGATTAGATATACCGAGGAACCACCATAGTGCGATACAATCTTCACTTGCATTTTTTAATGCACTTAGCCACTATGCATGCAGTTCGTAAACGCACAGGCTCGCCATGCCCTATTCACATCACCTTGATGCCATAAGTTTATTGTTTTGAGCAATTTTGCAAAGAAAACGATATAATCGAGGCAAAATTACGTTAGGTGATCCAGCTTGTGGTACGACTGCTGCACTGCACGATAATTTTCGATTACAAAGAAATAAAAATTACCCACTGCGGTGTATCTCTTTTTATGTTCGCTCAGGTCATAATAAGTCTACGAACGGTTCAGATTACGCAATTTGGTGAGATTGGATGACTTGCGGTCATCCCGCTGTCAAAGGTCATAATGCTTTCCGCACTGAATAAGCATCAAATGACTTAGCTACCTCTCTTACAGGAAGGGACCGCGGGGCGCATTGCATGACAGATACGCACGAAAATGTACACATCGAATTTTTTTTTTTTTTTTTGCATTTTTACATCTTATGCAAATGCAAAATCGCATATTGTCGATTTTTTCCAAAACTACGCTACAAACCGATCACGCGCGATTACCAAATTGTGGCTACGTTAACATGAGACGAAGATAGAAAGAAAAGCAGATAATCTGTATTTTTGGTGAGTGCATACATGACAGATTCCCTAAATTCTTATCCATTATTAGTCTCTCACAATTTCAGATCCGCGCATTTCATCAAGATGCGGTGCTGACAAAGGACCAAGCAGTACTGAGGCACGGCAGAGTCTGATCCAGACAGCGCCACACACAGCCAGGAGAAATAGCGATGTACTTTTTTCGGCTAAGATTAAGCGCTGCGGACCACTGCTATTAACCTGTCCACCGGCTACTGTTACAAAAAGATTATTCAGTTAGGCGTAGGACGAAAACACCGCAAAATGCATGCTGCGCGACTTGGCCTGGGGAAGTTGATGATGTGAAGAAAATGAAAGCACGCTCAAAGCGAATCCTAGAACACTGTACACTTTTTAATCGAGCTTACAGTGGCGGACTGGCAATCGAAGCACGAGGAACTGGTAACCAAGAAATGTTGTCCCGAAACGGTCGGCATTTCTCGATAGCGTCAAGCTGAGTGCTGCTCCATGAACTCCCACATACGATAGAAACAGTTAAGAAAGCGAATACAGGTTGTTCGACTGATACAACAATTTTTCCGCCCAGCTTGGATACCGATCAAAACGGGTCTGGAACTGAGCAACGTCATAGGCCATTCAAATTTCACTTGTTTGCGTTTTTTGCAGCTATGCAGTGCGAAAAAACATATTGACGAGAGGTTGTCTGTGTGTGTGTGTACGCAGGGCCTCTGTACCGATTTTTCATTTCGAGACCTACAAAAATTACAGGGCTGAAACTCTAGGAACTTAATCTACATACATGTACGGGCCCCCATCCCCAAAATGGGCGGTCTTACCCACGTGGTACCCACGTAAGAGCCCGACAAAGTTTTTACAGGTAAGCTGCTAACTCGAGAACCAGAAGTGCTTGGGAGCTAGAATTTTAAGGGGATGTTCTTCGTTCAAGTAGGTATTAATGAGCTCAAAGGTAGGCGTGGTACCCGCGTACGGGCCCGCCAAAATTTTTCTCGGGTAAGTGATAACTCGGGGATCTGAGAAGCCAGAAAGCTGAAATCTCAAGAGGATGTTTCCCGTTTAAGTAGGTATCAGTGAGGGCGTGATACCCGCGTGTGGGCCCGCCAAAGTTTTTTCGGGTAAGTTGTTAACTCGGGATCTGAGAAGCTGTAAAGTTGAAATAGTAGGATGATGTCCCTCTTCCAAGTAGTTTTTAATGAGCTCAAAACCAGCCCTCGGCTATGCGTGGTACCCACGGACGGGCTCATCATAGTTTTCCTCGGGTAAGTTGCTAACTCGAGAACCTGAAAAGCTAGAAGACTGTAGTTTTAAGAGGATGTTCCCCGCCCAAGTAAATCCCAACGAGCTCAATCCCAGACGTTGGGTATGAGTGGTACTCACGTTCGGGCCCGTGAAAGTTTTTTTCCCATAAGCTGCTAACTGAGGGGCCAGGGAAACTAGAAAGCTGAAATTTTAAGGGTGTGTTTCCTGCCAGTTCTGGC